CGCAGACTTAAGAAGTGCTGACAGGGCCGGGCATGGTGGCACACGCCCATAACCCTGGTCTGTGAGCCTCGCAGTCCACGGTGTCTCGGGAACAGACTGGGCAGGAGACGGACAGAAACCTCACAGAAAATGCGAAGCTGTGCTACCTGCACGGAAGGTCCACACCGTGACCGTCATGCTGGGTGGGAGCCGGCAGGTGCCGCCTTCCCTGTAGGACCCGGACTCGAAGCTGCTGGGAGTGGATGGCTCTGTGGCCTGGGAAACTCCCCCTTCACACTCTGACTCACTCGGACACTGGCCCTACAGGGGACGACCAAGCCTCCATAGGGAACAGTGAGCTCTGTCCCTCTGGGGGTTTGAGAATGTTATTTAAACTCTCACATAGGGAAATAAAATTTTCTAATTTCATTCATGCATCAAAATGGAATTTTCACGTACAGGTATGAGAAATACTCCAGAGTTACCTGCCCGCCCTTTGTCTGGGCTTCTTTTGGAAAACTAACATTTTGTTTGTTTGAGACAGGGTCTCGCTGTGTAGCTCAAGCTGCACTTGAACTCACTATGCAGCCCAGGTTGGCCTCGAACTCAGGGTGATCTTCCTGCCTCAGCCTCCTGAGTGCTGGGATTGAAGGTGTGCGCCTCCACTCCCAGCCCACTCACTCTAAAGAAAGATCCCTTGCAGAGCTGAGAAGAGGTCCAGTGTAACCAGGAGACCCCAACTCTGACTGAGAGGAGGCAGAAGAGCTGGAGTAGAAGCAAGGAACACTGAGATGACGCCTAAATGTACTTTTCCTTGTGACCAGGACAGCGCTCAGAAAGCAGCCCCACAGGGGCCGGGGATGTAGCTCAGTGGTTCCACCACCTGCCTTGAAAGCAGAAGGTCCTGAGTTTGATCCCGGTACCAAGAAAAAAAAAGAAAAGAAAGCAGCTCCTCGTGGGCAGGACTTGGATGTGGGTGGTCTGTGAACTGCCCAGGCCGTATTCCTAGGAAACGTGGAATTTTCTTAGTGCAGTTGTTGCGCTAAGAAAACTCCCCCCTAAGCTAGGCTTGGTGGCGCACGCCTGGAAGCACAGCACTTGGAGGCTGAGGCAGGAGGATCGACCCAAGTTGGAGGCCAGCCTGGATACATAGTGAGACCCTGTCTCGCCATGCACCGTGCCATCCGGGTGGGAAGAACTCAGGGCAAAGTGAAGGCAGGGACTGGAAACCGAGGGGACCTTTGGCAAAAGGGAAGGCGGGCAGGAGATAGAGGGAGGAACAGGGAGGCAAGAGAATGAAGATGTGTTGTGTGCAGTGGACCTCGAGTTACAACCAGCCCTATATGAATGACTTGAGTTACAACCAGAAGTTTAGTTTTAACTTATGACCAAAGTCTTCAGTTATGACCCAAATGCCAGCCTTGTGCTTCCAGATGGTCTCAGACACAGGTTTAACCCTTAAGGAGTTCTGGAAGGAACAGGACAGCATCCTCTCCTGTGTGGGGTTCACTGAGAAATCCTGGCCCCGGTGTCTCTCTACGGACACTGAGATCTGCCTGTGTGCTGGAGAGAGGTGACTTGGGTTACAACCTGCCCTCGGGAACAAATTGAGTTCGTAAGTCAAGGGTCCACTGTACATGGCCAGCTTCCCAGGCAGTAAGCCTATGTACCACAAGCGTGGGCTGAGGATGATGAGGTTACCGTGCATGCAGGTGAGTCTGTTAGGTCACCCCCAGCACCAGCGGGAGGAAGAGGAAGTCCTTCAGGCGGAAGACATTTCCGGCCCTGTCAGTGGGGGTCCTAGAGCCTGAACCCAGGGCCTGCCCACTGAGCCACTCCTGCCTCACTGCCCCTTTTTTGGTACCGGGGATCGAACTCAGGACCTTGCTTGCACAGCAGGCAGCGGCACCACTGAGCTACATCCCCGGCCCTCGCCACCCTTTTTGAGACAGGATCTCCCTAAGTTGCCCAGACTGTTGAATTTGCAATTCTCCTGCTTCAGCCTGCCAGAGTGCATGCACCTCTAGGCCTGGTTGATTTATATATTCTTTTGAAGAAAAGACGTTTAAAGTCCATATAAAGTTTCCTTTGGTTAGTAAAGTTTTCTTTCTATGTGATTCAGGCTGGCCTTGAACTCTCAGCGATCCTCCTGCCTCAGCTTACCGAGCTCCGGGATTACAGGTGTGTGCCAGCATGCTTGACTGTTTTTTCCTTAAAACCGGAGAACTGATGAAGAATTTCCTGTCCGCCCCCCAGGCTCAGTAAGAACTTGCCGAAGCGCGGCTGCCCAGAGTGAACGCAAGGCCTTTGCGAACAAGGAAAGCAGCTGCGCCCTGTGATTCTCTGTCCCTGAAGGGAAAAGGCCGAGGATGCCTCTCCTCTGGCTCTGTCTCCAAATCAAAGGCGTTTGTCCCAGTAGCTTTCCACGGGCCTGGAAGGGCGGCGCGGCTCCAGGTCCGGTTGCAGACGCGTTTTCCTTTCTGCGGTCCCCTGCGCCCCCTGCTGTCCGCTCCTGCAAACTGCCGTCTTGGAGACCCAAACCCCTTTAGACTCCAGAGAAATCTCCCTCCCCCATCACTTGGCCCCCTGCCCTTTTGCAAAAGATCTCTCTGTGTCTCATCTGTCTCTTATTTTGCTTATTTTAGTTAAAGAGTCGTTGAAAAGTATGAAGTAAAGCCCATGTGCTGGCGCACACCCGTAATGCCAGCACTGTGGGAACCTGAGGCAGGAGGATTGCAAACTCAAGCCCAGCCCGGGCAATTAGGTGATGTAATAAGACCCTGTCTCAATTTTTTTTTTTTTTTTTTTGGTACTGGGGTTCAAACTCGGGACCTTGGGCTTGCGGGGCGGGTGGCAGCATCACTGAGCTAAATCCCTGGTCCTCAAATTTTTTAAAAAGGTTAAAAGGCTGGAGATGTGGCTCAGTGTAAAGGCCCTGAATTCAATTCCTGGTATAGAAAAAAAAAAAAGGTGGAAGAAAATTGCTGAAGTTTGGACTCTGGCAGAAGCCGTCACTACATGAGGTCGCCTCCCTCCCTGGACCCTGGGATCCCACGGGCCCCAGAGCAAGGTGTTACACTCAGAAACCACCGGCTCTGTGCTTCAGACCACAGCTGTGCCCGGCGTGGCCGACAGCACAGTGGTGCCTCTGGCTTCTCAGCCCCATTCCTCCCCTCCACCTCCAGGTCCTGCTGTGACCGTTCTGAGCCACGCTGGTGAGACGGGTCTCACTGTGGAGACCCTCCTGCCTCAGCCTCCCGAGTGCTGGGATTATAGGTGTGTGCCACCATGCCCGGCTCTACTGGAGCAAATCCTAACTCTGGGGAAATGTTTGGTTTGTGCAGGCAGCAGCTGAGGACCAAAGTCAGCCACCGGGACAGTTGTGTAGTCTCTAACTGCCACACACGGTGGAGGGTTTTCCCAGCCAGCTTTGCTGTCCTGCCCTCGGGAGGGATTTGTTCAGATTCTATTTTTGCATCTGTGGTAACAAAACAGTTAGGGAAAGTTCCGTGCAGAAGCTGCGGGGATCGGATCGGTGACTCTGGCGCCCGAGGATGCTGCGCCTCCAGCATTTAATCCAGCAGCTCCTTGCCCTGGTAGGCCAGACACGGGTGTCTGCACGGACACGGGCTTATGCGAAGGGAGGGCGCGGGAAGGCGGGCAGGAGGAGCTGAGAGGGGCCGGAGGGAGGCGCACGGCAGCATGGAGACCAGGACCCAGTTTCCCCATGAAACTAAGACGGAGCTGGCCGTCCCCTTGCTAAGTGTCCTCTCCCAAGTTAAAGCCACCATGTCACAGCGGTGTGCACAGATGTGTGTTTACAGCACCACAACTTGCAGTAGCTTAATCTTGCTGGGCGTGGTGGTGCGTGCCCGTGACCCCAGCATTTGGGAGGCTGAGGCAGGAGGATCACTCTTAGTTCGAGACCTGGGCCAGGGATTTAGCTCAGTGGTTCCGAGGCCTGCCTCGAAAGCACAAGGTCCTCAGTTTGATCCCTAGTACCAAAAAACAAAGGCCCTAACTCAGGAATGGTAGAGGGGATCTATACTCCCAGCAATTTGGGAGCCTGAGGCAGAAGTTCACTTGAGCCCAGGAGCTTGAGGCCAGCTGGGCAACATAGTGAGGGCTTGTCTCAAAACAAAAAATAAAGAAACAAACCAAATGAAGGAAAAAGAGGGAGTGACTAAGGACAGCAAGTTACCATTTTGTCCCAACATGCAATGGAGAATTTCTCCCTCAAATCAGGACTGGTTAAAGAGTCGCTACCATGGGCTCCCAGGAGAACAGGACAGGTGTAAAACAAAAAGCAAATGAAACAAGGACAATCTCTGTCCTGAGGGAGGAACCGTCTGCAGGACACACTGCTACATGGAAAGGCAAAGGGCCTGGGCTGGGGATTTAGCTCAGTGGTTTCGCCGCCTGCTGTGCAAACGCAAGGACCCGAGTTTGATCCCCGGTACCAAAAAAAAAAAAAGAAAGGCAAAGGGCCTAAACTGCCTGGCTGATCTGCTACCCTGCAGCAAAAGTTAAAAAGGAAAACCCTTGGAATGTTCATTTTTGATTGTCTTTTCATAAAAACCCAATTAAAAAGTGGATGCGTGTAAGGAGAGGAGCGAAATGCGTAACTGTGGGTAGAAGAAAGCAATACAGCACTGCCTTTCACAGTGTTCCTTTTTTTCAGTACTGAGGATCGAACTCAGGGCCTTGTGCGTGCCAGGCAGGCGTGGCGCCACTGAGCCACATCCTGGCCCCCACAGTGCTCCTTTTCATGTTCTTGGATTTTTTATTTTAAAGACAGGGTCTTGCTATGTACCTCAGGCAGGCCTTGAACTCGCAGCAATCCTGCCTCGGCCTCCTGAGTGCTGGGATTGCAGGTGAGAGTCTCCAGCGATGTCAAGCTCTGAGGCGCACGCAGCTGCACAGAGAGAAAAGCTCGGGTCCAAACCAGGCTCTGCGAAACCCAAGGTCTGCTCTCCTCCCCGGCGACGGCTGAGCAGGGACACAAGTTACTAAACAGAAAGGACATTTTCATTTTATTTTATTCTTTCAGTCATGAGGTGAAGGAAATGCAAGTTCATGAAAACAGAAACAATACCGAGCCTCAGCTACTCCCGCCCGTGGGTGGACTCGGCGCGGTCATGGACTCGGATGCGGGGTCCGGGCCGCCTCAGTGCGCCCCGCAAGGCCGGCATCGGTGCAAGGCCAGAGGGAATGGATCTGCCATGCAGGCCTCAGACTCCCTGGCCCATGCCTGGAATCCCAGCACTCAGGAGGCCCAGGCAGGAGGATCGCTGCGAGTTCATGACCAGCCTGGGCCACAGAGCAAGGCCCTGTGCTCAGAGTTAATGTGTGCAGGGAGTGTCTTGAGGCCTCATGGTAGAAAGTTTGCTTAGTGCAATTAAAAATCAGAGTACCTTAGTGTTAATTAACTAAATTTTTAAGATTTGAGACTGTGATCATTATAAATTGAATTTTTTGTGTGTGTGTGGGTTTTTTTTGTTTTTTTTTTTTTGGTACCGGGGATCGAACTCGGGTATAAATTGAATTTTATACATGGTCTTGTGATTATAAAAAAAACTGATGCACCAGAGCTGGGGATTTAGCTCCATGGTTCCACTGCCTGCCTCACAAGCGTAAGGTCCTGAGTTCGGTCCCTGTTACCAAAAAAAAAAATTAAAAAATTATACAGGCAGATGTGGTGGTTACCAAATTGGAGAGGCTGAGGCAGGAGGATTGCTGCCAATTCGAGGCCAGCCCAGGCTACACAGTGAGTTCAAGGCCAGCCTGAACTACACAGCAAGATCTTGTCAAAAAACAATTATACAGTTCATCCTCGGAAAATGAAATTTTAAAATGACTATACTGATTTTACTTTTTGAAAAGTGTACTGAACTTACAACTCTCACTTAGTGTATTTCCACAGATTGTTCACACATAGACAAAAACAAAATGAAAAAGATCTGTACAAAAATAGCTCTCCGCTTTCTGTAACCCCCATCTTTGTGTATGAATTTGTTACTATAAAAGTGTCTGCTTAGAAAAGTATAAAAATATTGCTACAATGTCATAAACATTCTACATTCTGTGGGAAAATGAACCCCCAGAAATGCACAAGTGGGAAGAATTCTTAACGAAACCCAGTCCCGGATGGGCCCACTCAGCCCATGGGCAGCAGGTCCCTGTCGGGTGCCAGGGATGCGAGGCATCCTCAGAGGTCGCCGTTGATCTCCGTGGATATCCTCAAGGTCACGTTCTATTAGAGATGGTAAAGGGATGGAAAATTATCAAGCCACATCTCGTGCAGATACCAGTCCCACAAAATACACTACTAAACATATACAAATAAAACAATTTTTAAAAACACTTCATTGCTGAGTGTGGGAGTGCACACCTGTAATCCTAGCGCTCAGGAGGCTGAGGCAGGAGGATCTCAGCAAGTCTGAGGCCAGCCTGAGCTACACAGGTGGGTGAAGCCCTTGGGAACATTTTTCAACACATGGCTTTTAGCATCAAAGGCGGAGGACGCAGGAGAAGGCCATCTAAGCCAACAGGTGTGTTTCCAAAGCCTCTGTGGGTGAAAGAACGTGCCTTTTCCTGCCACCAGCGACTGTTGCTGTGTCCCTACCCCAGCCATCGGAGCCCACCTGGAAGTCGCGGATGAAGGTCAGGAAGTAGAAGATGAAGCCGAAGGCCACTGTCCACTCACAGATGGCACTCACCACGTGATACACGTAATCCTGGCAGAGAGAAAAGACGCAGGATTGAGCCCTAAAAACGACTGTGCACACGTGAGACAGGGAAGCCGCCCAGGGCAGGGACCCTGGAGCTTGAGGCGAAACCGAGGTAACTGAGGCACCGGACGACACGGCAGGGACCCACCAGGGTGGACCCGAGTAGTTCTGCGACCTCGCCCTGGCTTTAGGACTTCGTCTAGATGACTTCAAAAGGCAGCGTGAGGACCACAGAGTAGGTGAGGGTGGGAGAAGTCAGGACTCCACAGAAATAAGCACTTTCCCGGCCTGTAAGCAGAGCACTCGGGAGGCTGAGGCAGAAGGATCTCAGCGAGTTCAAGGCCAGCCTGGGCCACACAGCGAGACCCTGCCTCGAATGAATGAACCAACCAATGAATGAATGAATGAACGAATGAGTGAGTGAGTGAGTGAATCAGCCTGGGAAACTCCCCAGCGCCACAGGGCAGAACTCGGTCATCCGTGGGGGCAGGAGGCCAACCCAGGCTCACAGTGGCTCCGGGGTGAGGAGAGCATGGGCGCGTCTCACACCTTCAGGGGGCTCCCCCACGCGATCAGGGTGCAGCGGGTCAGGCCAATTTGTGGGCGAGGCGGCCACCCAGTGCTGGGAAGGGTGGAGGAAGCTGCCCCCCCCCCCCCCCGGGAAGAGCGCCCTGCTGCATCCTGCGGCTTGGTCCCGGCGCTGATCTGGCCACTTTAACGTCACATTTGGTTTTCTGTCCGATGGAGCCCAGGCTGGCCTCAAACTCACAGCCATCTTCCCGCCTCAGCCTCCTGAGTGCTGGGATGACAGGTGTGCGCCCCCCAACCCGAGCCTGGCTTCAAAGTGCTGCATTCGGCAGGGCACAGTGGCCATCGGCCCCTAAAGTCCAGGCTTCCTTGGGCACCCGAGGCCCGGCTGCGTCCCTCAGTGACCGAAGTCTTCTCGTGGGGAGGCTGTGGGCAGTGAAGCCCCCTGACCCCACTGCCCGGCCCTGCCCTTCTGTGGCCCTGGCCTCTCCTTTCGCTTGGTCCTGGCCAGGGACACCGCTCCCCGGGCCCAGGGAACTCCCTGCTGTCCATCCCCCTCTCTCCTCCTGGGTCACCCACCCTTCTTTCCCCCAGCTTGGCGTCCACCTAAGAAACCCTTGGTCCAGTTAGGGGCTTCTTGTCCTCTGTCCTGGGAATACATTCTTTGGTTTATCCAAGATAAAGACCAGGAAGTCGCTGGGCCTGGTTGTGCACGCCCGCCATCTCAGCGCTCTGGGAGGCTGAGGCAGGAGGATCTCAGGTTCCAGCCCAGCCTGGGCACCTTAGTGACTTCGTGAGAGGGCCTCAAGCAGTAAGGCCCCGCTCTACCTGCTCCACCCTCTTTCGAGCAGAGGCCTGAAGTGTTTGAAACCAAAACGAGGGACTCAGATTTGGGAAATCGGCACCTGGGCGAGCACAGGTGTGGCCGAGCCTGCGGCCAGGGCAGCCCTGGCGGTGGCGCTGCACCTGTCACCTGGAGTGGGGGGTGGAGGCCCGGCCCACACGGCCTACCCTGGACTGTATCAGTCCCGGTTCCGTCCGTGTCCACTCTGCAGGTGCAACCTATCCCCGCAGTGACCGGGCCCCTCCCGGATCCCCCGCCCAGCCCGGGCCGACACTGGGCCCACGTCAGCGTCACCTTCTCCTTTGGGCTCCATTCCAGCTTGGTCATGGAAATCAGGGAAGCACAGGCGATCACTGAGAAAGGAAACTGTTAAGGACGACAGCAGAAAACAGCGACAAAATGTCTTGCTTTGTTTTCCTTTTGGGACAGGGTCTCTACGGTAGCCAGGCTGGTCTCGAATTCGAGACCCTCCTGGCTCAGCCTCCCAAGTTCGGAGATGTAGGCGGGCACCACCACAGCAGGCTGCAGTGTTCAAATGCTAACAGCAACGTTTCTGCCACCAAAGCAGCTTGACTCGCTTCTGATCGTCCCAACCCGATCGTCCGTGTGGTGGGGTGGCGGGGGGTGGCGGCTGAACGGCAGGAGGAAGCAGTCACCCGGGGCTCGCCTATTCAGGGACACGCCACGCCCTGCCTGACCCGGATGTGCCTGGTCCCCACTCGGGCCCGCTGTGAGCTGCAGGAAGTGGCAGACACAGCACTGAGGATGGGTCCTTTCCAAACACGAGCTACTGAGTAAAAGCACTGTCCCCTAAGTGTGGGCGGGGATTCACACTCAGCCTTCAGACCCGGGCTTGGGCTTATTAGCTCGGCCGGACAGCCTGCATCCCGGAGCCCGGGGGCACTGGACCCCAGGAGAATGATTAACTGTCTGCACACCCGCAGCAGGCCACCCACCTTGCTGGGAGAAACAAAGCTCTCAAGTCTCCAAACAATGAGTAGTTCAAACTGGGGCATGGTGGCGCATGCCTGAATCCCAGCACTCAGGAGGCTGAGGCAGGAAGATCGCTGGGAGCTCCAGGCCAGCCCGGGCTACACAGTGAGTTCAAGGCCAGCCTAGAATACAGTGAGACCCTGTCTCAAAAAACCAAACAAATGAAAAATTAGCACTTCAGAGGCCTGAGCCAGAGGCAGGTGTGATGGCGCACACCTGTAGTCCTAGCACTTGGGAGGCTGAGGCAGGAGGATACTGAATTCAAAGCCAGCCTGAGCTACATAGTGAGTCCTCCGTAGGAAAGGAGCAGAGCCAGAGAGGAAGACAGGTGACAGGCAGGTTGATCCCAAGTGCTGAGCCAATGCCGTCTGCACCTGAGTTGGGTCCCCATGCCCTCTCCACATGGCCCCCATGTCCTGCAAGGCGTTCACTCCCTCGTTTCTCAAAGTAAAGAAAGAAAACACAAAACACCTGATCATCGCACCACCATGTTCTGGCTCCAACAGCTTAAACTTTAGTTCTACCCTCGGGGCGCTGCCCTCACCTGTAGTTCTGGTGCCTCAGGAGGCTGAGGCAGGAGGGTTGCAAGGTCAAGGCCAGCCTGGACAACTCTCAAGATCTTATTTTGAAATAAGAAAACAAACAAACAAAAAGGGCTGGGAATGTGCCCCAGCAGCCTCTAGGTTCCATCACCAGTGATTTTTAAAATAAATAAGATAGGGGCATGGGGGTGCATGCCTCTGATCCCAGCACTCAGGAGGCTGAGGCAGGAGGATCCCCAGGAGTCTAAGGCCAGTCTGAACTGCATAGCAGGACCCTGACTCAAAAAACAAAACAAAAGGGGCTGGGGATTTAGCTCAGTGGTTCCACCGCCTGCCTCGAAAGAGGAAGATCCCAAGTTCGATCCCCAATACCAAAAAATAAATAAATAAATAAAACAAAAACAAAGCCCATTTTGCAGAAATGTCACCAGGGCACAAACAAAGGTGTCTGGAAAATGCATTGTCTTTTTCAAGCAGATGCTAAGCTTAAAACAAGAGACTTCATACGGATGAGTCTGTTGGAGCTTGCCACGGTGACAGAAGGCCTTGTGCTGGGCACCACCGTCCAGCAAAGACCAGGGTCAGAAGCTCCGAGAAGTGGGGGCTATTTACTAGGGTGGGCAGCCTGGGGCCTGAAATGCAACCCCAGCACTGCGAACACCCACTGTACACTGCAAACCAACACAAGCTGAAGTTGTAAGCACGTGTGTTCAAAGACACACACACACACACACACACACACACACACACACAGTGCTGAGGATCGAACCCAGGGCCTTTGAACTGAGCTACATCTCCAGCCCCTTTTTATTTATTTTTAAATTTTGAGGCAGGGTCTCACTGAATTGCCAGGCTGGGTTCAAACTTGTGATCCTCCTGCTTCAGCCTCCTGAGGCACTGGGAAGAAAGTCTGTCCTCCCCTCACAAACAGGACAAGGAAGTGGAGGGGACTGTGTTAGGATGGGGTGTGGACTCTGTTGGTAAATGTCTTAGTTTCTCTGTGCTTAGGAAATTTGTAATTAACATTTCCCTTCCCTGAGACTGGAAAAGAGATGCTGACACTTCCTGTTTCGCTCTGGGGGTGGAGGCAGGAGAATCCGAAGGTGGAGCCCAGCCTGAGCAATTTAGTGAGATCCTGCCTCAGATGAACAGTAAAAAGGGCTGGGGATGAAGCTGGGCACAATGATCCTGGGTTCAGTCCCCAGGGAGGGAGGGACAGGGACGGACACACACAGGCACACACAGGCACACACAGGCACGCACACACACACAAACTTTGGCTACCAAGACGCCGCTTGTCAAATCCCTCCCTGAGCTGGGTGCAGTGATGCTCGCCTGCAGTGCCAGAACCTGGGAGGCTGAAGCAGAAGAACTTTGAACTCAAGGCGGCCTGGCCTAGGCCTGGCCTCCTTCGCCGTCTCAGAAACGAGCCTGTCTGCACTTCCCATTGTAATAGGTGCACTTTCTCCAGACCCAAGTGCAGTTTCCCCTCCCTCTCGTTTCCCCTCCCTCTCGGCCCACACAGCAGGATGTCCTTTGCTCTTCCTTTTCTGCGGGTGGGCATGAATGACTGACTGACTGAAGTGCATTTCACTCCACTTGGGCTGGCACCCCCAGGAGGGCACCCAGTCAGGATGTCCTGGCCTGCAGCCCAAGTGCACTATCAATATTTGTGTCTTTCGTCAAGCACTGCAAAAAAAGATAAATATTGCCACAGCCAGGGGCCGGCTGGGAGTCAACAGAGCTCAAGGGCCCTTCCGTGCGTCCTTCCTGCCCGGAGTGGGGGCGTGTGCTTACTGGGTCCCACTTCTCCCCGTCGCCCAGTGTGCAACTGCCACCGCTGTCCGCTGCTGTCTGCCCGCTGTTGTGGAGCACGCCTGTCATCCCAGCTACTCAGGAGGCTGAGGCAGGAGGGTCACAAGTTTGAGGTCAGCTCTGTCTCCAAATTCAAAAGACTGGGAGGTGGCTCAGTGGGATAAATAAACCTCCTGGGCTTGATCCCTCCTACCAGGAAACAAGAAGAAAAGGAAGGTGGAGGAGACAAAGAAGCTGGGAGTGGTGGCGCACACCTGAGACCCCAGCACTGCAGAGGCTGAGGCAGGAGGATCTCCTGGAGTTCAGAGACAGCCTGGCCTGCACAGTGAGCCCTGGTCTTGCCCCTCTCCATTCCCGCTCAGCTCCTCACCACCGCATCACCTCTGCTCCACCTTCTCGGACACTCTGGCCCCGTCCCTGCCGCTCCATGGACAGAAATACCCGAGAGTCACCGACCCTGGTCCCAGCCACGCCTCCCTCACCCCTCAAACACGGGAGCAACGACGAAGGATACTGGGGACCACAGCGGCCCAGGACACGGCCGAGATGGCCATGCGCACGTGGCAGGTGGTGCGGCTGTTCCACTGCGGGCAGCACTTGTAGGAGAGGACGGTCTGCAGGAGCGTGTACACCACGCCGCACATGAAGGCCAGCAGGGCGCCCCCGTCATGGACCATGGGCACTGCCAGCTCCTGAGGATCAAATCACAGGTGTCACCACCCTGCGGGCCACAGAGGCAGCCCTCTCTGCAAAACTCGGGAGGCTGAGGCAGGAGGGTTGCCTTGGGCTCGAGGCCAGCCTGGACTACACTGGGTGACCCTGTCTCAAAAGTAAAATAAAATTAGGGCCAGGGGTTCAGCTCAGCGGCACAGCACCTGCATCAAAAGCACAAGGTCCTACATTCGATCCCTGGTACCAAACAATAAATAAGTAAAATAAAAACTTCCTTGTCAATTTAAAAGACAGTAAAATGCAAAGAATACTACAAATTTTTTTCATAAAGATATTCATCTTTTTAAAATTTTATTTTGCACTACCAAATAACCATATGCATATGGGATTTCATCTTCATTTAGAGATGTTTCCCTGGTGAGAGGATTAGATCAAGCTGATTAAACTCACAATGTCACCTGCTTACCATTTTCTGTGGTCAGAGCAAGTAAAATCTCTAGGATTTTTTTTTTTTGAGATAAGGCCTCATTACTAGCCCAGGTGGCCTTGAAGTTGTGGAGACCCTCCTGCCTCAGCCTCCCGTGTATGTGCCGCCACGCCCAGCTCTGTCTTAGTGATTCTGACTTCTGCAGCATGCACCTTCACCACAGATCTCTGGCACATCCTGTCTGAAACTCCGTCTGTCCCCTGTTCACCTCCCGCCCCCGCAGCCACTTCTGCTTTGACCTCTCAGGTCACAGGCGCAGGCCTTGTGCTATCTGCCTCTCTGGATGTGGTTTGTTCTGTTTAACAAAGTATCCTATCTGGTCTCAAGTGACAGAATTTCAAAAAAGGATAATTCTTTTGTTTTTACAGTGAAGGCATGAATTTATTGTTTATGTTACCTTTGTTATAAATAATACACTTTTGAAGAGCTTATTTTAATTAACTTGAGTAGATTTGTATTTTAAACAGATAAACTCAACTGTTAAATTATATAATAAGAAACATGATTTTAATGATAAAAATCTGATGGAAAAATAATTCACCCTATACTAGGATGAATGAGGAAAAATAAAGTTGAACTCTTTTCTAAACTATATTCAAGGCCTAGCATAGTGGAGCACACCTGTCATCCCAGCACTCAGGAGGCCGAGGCAGGAGGATTGCTGCAAGTTCGAGGCCAGCCTTGACTACACTGAGTTCAAGGCCAGCATGGACTACACAGTGAGACCCTGTCTCAAAAGCAAACAACTACATTCAAAGCATCAGGAGCCTGGCACGGTGGTACACATCTGTAATGCCTGCACTCAGGAGGCTGAGGCAGGAGGATCACCTTGAGTGTGAGTGAGCTGAAGTCTATCTGAATGGCAGATAGTGAGAGCCTGTCTCAAAAGCAAAGGGGGAAAAAAAATCCCAAAGCATGAGGAAAAAAATTGCTTTTTCAAAGTTATGCGTAAGCCATAGGGGCCAGCAGATTTTAAAATATGAAGATCCTATAACCAAAGTTCCAACCCAATTGTACAGAATCCTGTGAGGCAAAACCAGGCTTTTGTATCTAACACTCACAGAACCTCCCGGCAGAGCGGGAATCTACAGGCAGACGGCTTAGCCGCGCACTGCCCGAAGCCTTTCCTTCCCCAGACCCTCAGCCCTGTCCACCGTCAGGGCCCAGCTTCCTAAGGGCTCAAGGGGCACTGGAACGCTGGGCTGCCAGCAAGGAAACAGAGGGGTAAAGAAATAAAAAGAAACAGATGTCAGTATTCTCAGTCCAGCGTGACTTGTGTTACGCACAAAATGACAAAAGGAAGAACTCTGCCGTCATCAGACACCAACCAAAAGAGGAAATTTTTTTTTTCCCAGTACTGGGGGTCGAACCCGGGGCCTTCACACTGAGCTGCATCCCCAGCCCCTTTTATTTTCAGACAGGGTCTCACGAAGTCAGTAAGTTGCCCAGGCTGGAGGAGCCTGGGATCCTCCTGCCTCAGCCTCCCAGAGACCTAGGATTCCAGGTGTGCCCTGCCTGCCTCTTTCTGCCTTTCATCCTCCAGACTGTGCAGACAACACGCCCCTTGGCGTTCACACAAGAGTGGCGGCGGCGGGAACAGCTCTGCCCACCATGGCTCCTGCCCCAAGCCCCGCCTGAGCTCCCTGTCACCAAAGAGAGGAAGAGAGCCATCTTCTGAGGCTCCTTACACCCCTGTGGTCAAGGCACAGTCTTTTCATGTGCTGCTCTGCCACAAAGAAAAACTGCCTGTCATCCTAGCACCTGGGAGGCTGAGGCAGGAGAGTCACGAGTTCAAGGCCAGCCTGGGCTACACAGCAAGACCCTGTCAAAAATTTAAAGAAAAAAGAAAGAAAGAAAAGAAAGGAAAGACTGCACGAAATGTTGTGAAAAAACAGAATGCAGGGGAGCCAGCGCACAGGAAGGAGAGCAGCTCCTGAGCGTGGAGGGAGTCACTTCCAAGCCTGCGGCCGGATCCTGTCCCCACCCCAGCCCGGCCCAGGCCAAAGCCCACCTGGAAGTTGGCCACGATGCCCATCCCGAAGCAGCCCACCAGGCCCAGCCCCAGCGACACCATGTTGAGCAGGGATGTCCCCAGGTGGCCAGCTGGGTCCTGCTTCTCCACGATCTTGTAGCGTATGTACATCGTGGCTGCACCTGCAAAGGAAGCGAGTTCGGAGTTGCCCCAGGCACCATCCTGCTGTGGGCCTAGCGCACCACGTCCCGGCTTCCACCTCAGCACCGCCAGAAGGCAGGGAAAGGGTCCTGCCCTGCGTGGTGGCACACGCCTGTCATCCCAACACTCAGGAGGCTGAGGCAGGAGGATCACTGCAAGCTCCAGGCCAGCCTGGGCTTACATAGTAAGACCCTGTCTCAAAAAACCAAAATTATACCAGATGTTGGTGTACAGCTGTTATTCCAGCACTCTGGAAGGCTGAAGCAGGAGGATACCAATACAGAACCCAGCTTGAGCACTTTACAACTTAGTGAGACCCTGGCTCGAAATAAAAAGAATAAAAAATGCTGCCACTATAGCTCAGTGCAAAGGCCTTGGGTTGAATCCCTAGTATGGGGGAAAACCTCAAACTGGCCATTGTGGCACATGCCTGTAATCCCAGCACTTGGGAGGCTGAGGCAGGAGGACTGCCAGAAGTTCAAGGCCAGCCTGGGCTACATACAAGACCCTGACTAAAGAAAAAAAACCCAAAAATGAAATCCTTGAAAAGCTAGGGTTAGAAATACCTATGACAGACCTCTTTCTCGAGGACCTGCACCCCATTCTTCAAGTGCACCCTGTATGGCTCTAACAGAACGTTCGTGTCTCTTTAAAAACATAAAAGTGGGCCGGGGATTTAGCTCAGTGGTTTCGCCGCCTGCCTTGCAAGCGCAAGGGCCCGAGTTCAATCCCCGGTACCAAAAAAAAAAAAAGAAATGCTTCTCTAAAAACATAAAAGTAGCTGGAGATTTAGCTCAGTGATTTCACTGCCTGCTGCGCAAGCGCGAGGACCCGAGTTCGATCCCCGGTACCAAAAACAAAACAAAACAAAAACATAAAAGTAAATAAAAACACGCCAGATCCCAGGTCAGATGGCTACGCACAGTGGAGAGAAGGCCGAATGACATGGTGAACAGGGGACACTGAATAACAAAGCCCTAAGTCATCTCACACATCTACATACTTGAGCTTTCCAAGGTCGGCAAATTTCTAGTTGCAAAGGTTATACAAAAAATAGAGCCAGGCACGGGAGCGCTCGCCTGTAATCTCAGCTGTACAGGAGGCTGAGGCAGGAGGAGTTAGAGTTTGAGGCCAGCCTGAGCAACTGCAGGGAACCCTGTCCCAAAATTTTAAAAATCAGAAATAGAAAGGGCTGGGTAGTGCTTAGTAGCACAGCACATGTCCCGAGTTCTGTCCCCAGGACTTCAAAGAGAAACACACTTGCGGCAAATACCGCACTTCTTTTCGCTTGAGTGACGAATTTTTATCCATCATAATAACGTACTCACCAAGGAAGGCAGAGAAGTTTATCATGAGTCCAAAAATACCACTCTCTGGAGGGGTCGTTCCTGTATCGCTGAGAGAAGGAAAGTCCCAATTATTAGAAAAGAATTCAGGCTGGGTGTGGGGCGCACACCTGTCATCCCAGCACTCAGGAGGCTGGGGCAGGAGGGTCCCAAGCCTGGGTGACTTAGCAAGATCCTGCCTCAAAATGTAATAAATAAAAGGACTAAGGACTAAGGGTGCAGCTCAGTACAATGGCTCTGGGTTCGATCCTCAGGACTGCCAAAAAAGTGGGGGACATTCTTTCATATGCTTCTTCTCTAAGCTTTCTGCTGGGCCCTGTAGTAACTGCAACATGCATTCATCGACAGAAACAATTCCATACAATCAGCCTTCATCGGCAAAATAGTCAGTCAACATCTCTGAGCCACAATCTCCGAATCTATCGGACAGAGCCGTTGGGCCAGGGATTTAGCTCAGTGGTTTGGCCGCCTGCTGCGCAAGCCCAAGAACCCGAGTTCGAGCCCTGGTACCAAAACAAACAAAAATCTATAGCAGAGCAGAGCCGCAGGTGCTGGGTGCCAAGGGAGGATAATCGGGCCCTTCAGAGAGCTCAGCTTCTGACAAGGCTGCAGTGGTTCATCGCGCTAGCACACCTCACCCGAGTGCCTTCGTTTACCAGGCAATTTTGTGGGCATATGGAATACAACCGCGAGGAAGCAAAAAAGGTCCCAGCACTTGGGAGGCTGAGGCAGGAGGATCTCAAGTTCCAGCCCAGCCTGGGCCACTTAGCCGGACCCTGTCTCAAAAAAAAAAAACATAAGAGGCTGAGATGTAGCTCCCTGGGTTCAATCCCCAGTACTACAAAAAAGAAAAGTTAAAAAAAGAAAGTAGAAACAAACATTTCTTCAGCACCCCGCTCCTGCTGGGCACACGCTAGCTAGTGAGGCTTCAGTGTCCTAAAACACAAGGACGCCTGCAGGAAAGTAACCCGCCCGGGTCCCACGGTTCGTGAGGACGCAGCACCCACAATTCACTGGGTAGCCCCGTGTTGTCCAGGAGCCAGAATGGGCGGTTTCTAGAGACCCCGACCCAGCACTTCAGCGCTCAGGCAGCTGCGCCTCAGCCTCCAGGGGCTGACGCGCTCCGGGCACCAAACCCCACCCGCTCCCGGAAGCCGCCTCCTTTCACTTTCGCTTTCTCTGAGGTGGAGGGAGGTTTCAAAGCCACTTTTAAAGCAAGTTGAGGGTAGAATCCTTCTATTTTAAAAACCAGTTTTCTTACGTCTTTGGTTGTTTTGAGAGACAGGGTCTCGCCAGGTAGCCCGGGGTGGTCTGGAACTCTTCGACAATCTGCCTGCCTCCGCCTCCCGAATGCCGGGACCCCCGGGCTGTGCCACCACACCCGGCCGTTTGTCAGACCCGCGAGTAGACGAAACTTGTCTCTTTCCCAAACACTCAGCTAAAGCTTTTTAGAAATTGTAGTTCTCTCTTCACTAACGGATCATCAGTTGATTGTTAAGGCACAGAATCACAATTAAAATGGCAATACGAACAGTAGCCAGCGCGGTGGTCCACGCCTGTAATCCCAGCACTCGGGAGGCTGAGGCAGGAAGGTTGCCAGTTTGAGTCCAGCCTGCAATTTAGTGACAACCTGTCTCAAAATTAAGAAAGTCAATAAATACAAATAGAAAGAGCTGGGGAAGTAGCTCAGTGTGGAGGCCCTGAATTCAACCCCCAGTACCGCCTCTCCAAAAAAAGCTTCCAAATCATGTTTTGTTCATATAATTAACACATACTTGCAAGTATGAATTAAGTTTTGTGATTGTTAGCTAAATGTGTTAAAATATTAACTTTCCTGATTTTCAGCTTCATTTCTGAAATTAAAGACCTGATCGAATCTCTTCTACCTCATCCACTGAGCAGTAAAAAGTCACAGAAAGGTGCAGATGTAAAGACACCAGCGTGGGGAGTCTTCAAAAACTAAAACTAGAAACCCCATCTGACCCAGCTATTCCCTTTCTAGGTATCTCCTCAAAAGAGTTAAAGCCATCAGATGGCAGCGATCCATGCACACTCGTGTTTACAGCAGCACAGCTGACAAGAGCTGAATCTTGGAAGTGGCCTGTGTGGCCATCAACGGATGGATAAAGACAATGTGGTCTTTACACACAATGGAGTACTACTCTGCCATAAAGAAGGATAAACTTGAGTCATTAGTAGAAAAACAGAGGCACCTTGAGACCACAATGTCAGGTAAATCAGACACGCATGCTTCACTGTCACATGGTTTCTCTTATATGAGAATCCCAAAGTATGAATAAAGAGCAAAATGAAAGATAATAGGAAGTGGGGAGACAGATCTTTTACAATGGGAAGGGACCAAGAAATGGGGGGACAAATGCAGATGTGTTCAGCCCAAGCACTGAAGCCACAGGAGGACCGTGAACCTGCTGTACTGCACACCTGGCCTGCTAAAAATAAAGATGACAGAAAAGGAGCTGCTCCACCGGTCTGCCTCTCTCCGAGACACCTGGCGGGGGTTGGGGGGAGCCCCATGAGCAGGGATGCCGGCCGCCTCAGCTCAGGTGAGCGCACCTGAGGTGTAGGCGTGGCCTTGGAGAACCCGAACCAGCCTGGGGAGGGGGTCTTTCATCTCCCCTTCCTTTTTCACTTGCATTCTGATTTCCACTCCGGCACGCTCATTTGAGAGGGAGTTTGAATCTCCTGCTTTAAATTTTCTGATCAGAAATTCACCCGAAATCCCAGCACTCTGGGAGGCTGAGGCAGGAGGATTGCAATGTCAAAGCCAGCCTGGGCAGCTTAGCAAGACTCCTGCTCAAAGAGAGGCAGTGAGGGCAGAGCTCTGGGTACTGCTCCATCCCCAGGACTGCGAAAGATTAAATAAAAAAAAGAAAACGACTAAGAAAGAAAAAGTAAATTTCCACTCCCACACCTTTGAACCAGGCCCGTTTTTTCTCTCTCCAGCAGCATCATAAAACCTCTGGGTTTCTGCCAAGCCCATAGGTGACAAACATCTGTTCCATCTGAATTTGTGTTTTGAGGCAGGGTCTCGCCACGCAGTCCAGGGTGGGCTCGATCTCCAGTGATCCTCCTGCCTCAGCCTCCCGAGTGCTGGGATCACAGGCAAGCGCCACGGCACCCTGCTGTCCCTCACTCTCCTGGCCCCTCACACGGTGCCGACATCCATGCCAGGCAGGAGACCACAGAGCACGATTCACCCCAGTCGTCCCTGTTGCTGCCACAAGATGCCACCCTGTCAGCATTGCTCGAGACCCGGATGCCGCTGTGCCAGAGCCAGGGGCAGCGAGGGTCGGGGCTTTCAGGGAGGAGGGGACAAGGAGCTCAGGCACAAGGCAGAGCGTACACCTGTGATTCCAGCACCCTGGGAGGCTGAAGCAGGAGGATCTCAAGTTTGAGCCAGTCTGGGCAACTCTGCAACCCAGCAAGTCCCTGACTCAAAATGAAAAATGAAGAAAGGGCCCGGGTGTAGCTCAGGGTAAAGGCCCTGGGTTCCAACCCTGCATCACGGGGAAAAGCAAAGAGGCCGCTAGGTCTAACAGCAGCCAGCACCAATCCGGTGCCGGCAGGGTTCTGCCCCTGCGCGTCCAGTACCAGGAGACTGGACAGCTCCTGCCCTGTGGCCCTTACTGAAACGAGACAGCCTGGAGCGGCCCACACCTGTCATCCCAGCACTCGGGAGGCTGAGGCAGGAGGACTGCCAAAGAGTTCAAGACCAGGCAGGGCTGCATAGTGCAACCCGGTCTCAAAAACAAACAGGGGGCCGGGGTTTAGGTCCTGAGTTAAATCCCCCTACAAAAACCAAAACCGAAACCAAAGCCAAACAAACAGAACAGCTGCATCTGCCCCAGAGCTGGGGGTCAGGGCCGAGGACGCAGCAGGCTTGGCTGCTGGGGCCACGGAGAGCAAGAAACCCGGGAGGGGCAGCGACCAGGGAAAGGCTGGGCTACCCCTCCGCTGGCAGACCGAGCGGCACAGCCCAGCTTCTGGCCCGGGTTGCTCCAGCGTTGGCACTGCCTTTCGGGGAGCCTGGGCACCTCGAGGGCAGGAGGCAGATGAGGAGCAGACTGCAAGGTGCGATAGGAAGCCGAGGCAGGAAGGTCTACGGCTGGAACTCAGCCCGGACAGCCTAGCAAGACCATCTCAAAAAGAAAAATTAAAAGCCAGGAATGTAGCTCAGCGGTCCAGTGCCCACCCAGCAAGTGTGAGGCCCTGAGCGCTGTTCCCGGTACCAATAAATAAATAAATAAATAGCCAGGCGTGGTGGCCCACGCCTGTGGTCCCAGCACTCAGGAGGCTGAGGCAGGAGGATCCCTGAGAATTCAAGGCCAGCCTGCGCTACAGTGAGACCCTGACTCAAAACAATAGATCAGTAAGAGTAAACACCAATTCAAAGGGCTGCGCTGCAGCTCAGGGTAAAGGTCCCGGTTCCCTCCCGCCCCAGAAACACAGCGGGGCGCGGCAGGGACAACGCGGGCGGCCCCGGGTTCCCGCCCCGCGCCCCGCGCCCCGCGCCCACCTGATGTAGGGCAGGAAGGGGTCCACGTGCCCCGCCAGCACGGCCACGACGTAGGAGATGAGGAAGGCGGCGGCCGACCAGGTGACCAGCAGGAAGGGCGCGAAGCCCATGCCGCGCAGCAGGCAGTGCATGGCGGCCGTGAGGTCACAGAGCCGCGCTGCCTGCTCCGAGCGGCCGGGCCCCCCCACGCGCCTCCTCCCCGCCCGCCCGCCCGCGGGTCACCGCGTCCCGCCCGCCGCTTCTCTGTCTGAGACTCGGCGCGCCCCGGTCCCGCGGTCAACCGATGGCCCGCCGGCCGGCCGGGACTCGCCTCCTCCTGCCTCAGCCTCCCCGGCGCTGGGGTCACCGCCCCACCCACCCTCGCGGAGCCCCGCCCGTCCCGGCAGAGCTGACCGCGGCGGCGGCTCTGCTTCCCCAAGTGCGGTGCCCGGCCCGCCGTGCCTGAGGCCGGGGTGTGTCAGCTGCGACGGAAGGGGGCGGTGCAGAGCCAGGCTGAGCCTCGAGGGCTGCGGGGTTCAGGGAGGGGGAGGGGGCGCAGGGCCTCGCACCCAGCTCCTCCCCAGCCCTTTTAAACTTTTATTTCACCCGGCATGGTGGCGCCTGGCGTCATCCCAGCACTTGAGAGGCTGAGGCAGGAAGATCACTGGGAGTTCAAGGCCAGGCTGGGCTGGCTACACAGTGAGTTCAAGGCCAGGCTGAACTACACAGCAAAACCCTGTCTAAAAAGTCAACAGTCCCACCCCCAAAAAAGGTTAGAGATGGGGTATAATTTGCTCAGGCTGGACCGGGATCTGAGACCCGCCTGCCTCTGCCTCCCGGATTATAGGCCTGCACCACCGCTTGGAGCTCAGCCTGTCATGGGTCCTGGGCACATTTCAGCCACAACGACATTTCTAGCCTGCCAAGATTAAATAGCGTCCAAGGCTGGGCACGGTAGCACACACCTGTATTCCCAGCACTCAGGAGGCTGAGGCAGGAAGAGTTCAAAGCCAGCCTGGGCCACACAGTGAGACCCTGTCTCAGAAAAAAAAATTAAAAATCAGAAAAAAAAGAGATGGAAGGGGGGAAGGAATGTCATTCCTATCCATATCTTTATATATTCAAAACAAACAAAAGAAGCTAGGCCCGGTGACACAGGCCTATACTCCCAGCTACTCAGGAGGCTGGGCCAGGAAGATCCGTGGTTGGAGCAACTTAGCAAGGCCCTGTTTTAAAAGAACAAAGGGCTAGGTGCTGCCCAGTGTGAAGGCCCCGGGTTCCATTCCAGCACCTGCCACAAGTGATGCCAGGCTCTGCGTTGCCGAGCTCTCGCCTGGGGCACCAGCGGGCCCCCGACTGTGCTGTCAGCCAGGCTCCTCCCCACAGCCCTGTCTCCCTGCCAGACCTGCAGCTGGGGACCATCCAGGCGGGTCCAGCTTTGACAGGAAGCCCAACTGTGTGCACAAGCTCAGGAAATTCCAGTGGGTCCCAGCATGTTGCAGCTGAGACGGAGACGACCCGGCTCCTGGGCTTTTCTGGCCTAAGCCAGGCTTGCTTGTGTTATGTCTTTTTAAAATTTTTTTTTTTTTTTTTTTGTTCCGGGGATCAAACTCGGGTCCTTGGCCTTGCACAGCAGGCGACGAAACCACTGAGCTAAATCCCCAGCCCTTCTTGTGTTATGTCTTTAACCTCCAACGATGTGGGCATGGTTTTTCTTCTTTTTCTTTTTGGTTTTCTGAGACAGGGTCTCACTATGTAGCCCAGGCTGGCCTGGAGCTCCTGGTGACCCTCCTGCCTCAGCCTCCCAGTGCTGGGACAACAGGCTCGCCCCGAGTCCCACCTCACCCAGGCTTCACACCTGAGGTGCAACCCCTGAGCTAAGGAGCCCTGGGCTGAAGAGGAGGTTGGGAAATCAGAGTCCTGGGGCAGGACCTCCCCCTAGGCACTGGCTCCCAAAGTGCCTGCTTCTGGAACCTCAGGCTGAAGCAGGCAGCTGACACCCTCCAGCTTCCAATAGTTTCTGGCAGAGGTTTGTACAG